TCCTGGGTAAAAACAGACCCAAAGCAAGACATGTGTGGAGGGAAAAAGAAGACAGGAAGCTATTGGAGCTCTGTTGAGGAGATAAAACTGATAGGCTTTTGAGACAGACTCAGAGAAAAGGAAGGAGTCCAGAAAAACTAAGTTTTCTGAAACGTTTTTGATTCACTAGCCCACAATTTTTACTTTTTCAATTTATTCTATCTATTCCCATGTAAAATAATTCTTGTAAGAATGCCTTTCATCTTGAATCTAATCTTGTGGTTTTGCTTTATAAAGTTTGGGTAGTTTGTCATCACAAGATCTGTAAGACTTTTTTTTCCCCTTAATAACTGCAGAATTAATACATATTTAACTATGTAGATAAGTACATTTAAGTCATCTATCTGCCTCTGACTCCACAAATCCAAGGAACATAAAGCATCAAAACCATAATGTTTGAATAAGTCTAAGTACTTAAGTGCTTGTTTTCTGTTTCCTTCCACTCCAAGTCACAAAAGACTTGCAACTCCTCTATCCACCAATACTGTTTACTACAACATATTATTTCCTGAAACTCACCGTGCAAAGGAACTGAATATTAGGAAGAAGAATAATTCAGCAGTAGATTTCGTATATTCTTTACATTCAATAAGTACTTGGTAATAATGAAGATATGTAGTGATCCCTGTTTCTTAAAAAGGGAAACGACAACAATGCAACCTGTCTAGCAATCTTCATTCATATAATTCCTCTCCAATTCAGTGGACCTCATACTGAACTCTAACCCTAGCCACCACAATTCTTGTGCTGTAGCATGTAATGTTTAATATATATAAAGACAATTAGTCTTAAAGATACGCTGTCTATGACAAAAAAGTAAAATGGATATCAGATGGCTCTGGAAAAAGAGAAGAATGCCAGAAAACGAACTCAAGTCCTGTAATCACAGATACACATTTTAACTTAAAAGTACTTATTCAATGTCTGTTATGTACAACGCACACAAGAGAGGAGTAACATTAGTAAATTAAGAGTCATTACTACTACCACACCTCTGCATATTCGCACAAATATCTTTTAGATTTAGGCCAAGTATTTTACCTCTCCTGTTGTAAAATCACCAAACTCAATTTCTGGTCAGAAATTATCAGTTTATAATTTGAGCTAATATAAACCAGTAAAATTATTTTCTCTTTGAGGAATATCTGTTAAGTATCATCATCCTAAATGACAATTCTCCACTTAACAGGATATGGGTAAACTAAAACTGGGTACAATCTAGAAGAAGCAATCCCTTTATATCAGGAGGAATGATCCCTCTGCAGGTTTAAAACTAAATGTACATTTCTGGTAAAGTTATAAACTTCCAGACCCAGGAGAGAAAATCTCAATTCTGCTGTGTCTTCCCTCTTGGTCCTAAAGAAGATGTTTTTTTAATAATTTTATTGACCCTCTCAGATTGTTTTGAATTTTCAAAGCCAGAATCCTGAGAAGGGCTTTGTGTTTTACAAATTGTGCAGCATATTCAGTGGGCCTAGTCTTGAACTCAATAAACAGAAAAATGCCTCAAGATATATACCAAACACTCATAAATTAAAAGATAAATGGGATTCATGACTATGACACCAAAAGCACGAATGATAAAAGAAAAAATAGATAATACTTCATCAAAATTAAAAACTTTTGTGCTCCAAAATACACTATCAAGAGAATGAAAAGACAACCTACAAAATGGGAGAATATATTTACAAAGCATGTATCTAATAAGGGATTAGTGTCTAGACTACATAAAGAACTCCGATGCAGTGTGCACTGTCTGGGGGAAGAACACACTTGAAGCTCTGACTCAGGTGGGGAAAAGGCAATATATGTAACCTAAACATTTGTACTCCCGTAACATGCTGAAATAAAAACATAAAAAAAA